CATCGATTTTGTTGAGCCAAACAATTGATTTTTCTACCGTTTTTTTCCAACCTGCAGGCCAAGTGTGAGAAGGAGGGTCAAAAGTTGCGGCTGCCAACGTATTGAATTCTGATTTTCAGCCGGGCCAGACAGGATATTTTAATTATTTTTGCAATTTTTTTAGTTTTATTCAAATTTCCTTCCAAATTAGGATTTGTCTTGACTCTCTAAGTATGTATTAAGGGTTTAAAAACTGTACATTCGTTTTTTATCAATAGTAATTCAGTTTTTTCGTTATTTGGTAGATTCTAATATTTCTCTCATTCGTTTGAGCAAAATTCGAGTAACACTCATTTATGTGTTATGAAGAAGACACTTTTATTATTATTTCTGTTTTGCGTCACCTAAATTATTGATTTACAACTCTCTCTCTTTCTAGGGTTGGACAAAAAGTCAATGGTAGGGCTTTCAAAATTTAGAATATAATATTCTCCTGAAATATTAATAGAATTGTTTAATAGGTTTTGCTTCATCGATAGAAAAATAAAATATTCTTATAAAATGCCGATTTAAAATTATGTTTTAAGAGAAACTTAGCAATATCATTTTAGATTATTGACATGTATAAATGATTGTTCTTCGGGAACTACAAAATAATAATCTTCTTGGTTATCAATACATATAAATTGTATGTACGTAATCTCACAACATTTTCTAGAATATTGTTTTTCATACACTTATACTTAAAAACAAAGAACATAAATATTGATTTAAATATATTTATGTTTTACCAAAAATACCAACATAATATTCTGCAGATATGTTGATAGAATTGTAAAATTATGTTTTTCCAGGAAAAACACAATTAAAAATCAAATATAATGTTACACTCTTGAGGAGCAATAACAATTCTTTTTCTTTTGCTTCCACATGAATTTTAAAAGAACATTTTTTTTTTAGAATATTGATTTTAGTAAATTTATGCTTCTTAAAAAAAATAAAAATATAGTATTTTTCAAGAATATCGATATATAAATATTTTATATTTTTCAGGATCAACAACATAATGTATATTCAAGAATGCGATATGTACTAAATTATGTTCTTTTGTGAAATATTCTTCTAGAATATTAACACGTAACAAATTGTGATTAAGCAACATAATAATATTCTTCTAGAATATTGCTAAGTGTAAATTAATGCATTTTCAACATAATATTCTTATAAATTAATATGAAATAATGTTCAATAAATAGAAGATAATAGAAAGTGTCAATAAATTTGCGCGTATTTTTTTTTTTTAAGAAACAAAGTCCTATATTTATAGGTAAAATTAAGATTACATAAATAATATAGTCATAATAATTAGAATTATCCAGATACAATAGTCATTTAGCCCTTGTTTGCCTCTGATTATTTAAAATTTTTTTTTTCTATATACTCATTTTTAGGGGTGTCCAAAAGTCTCGAACCGAACCAAACCCGAACCTCTGATTATTTTAAAACTTTTTTTTCTATATACTCATTTTCAGGGGTGTCCAAAAATTTCGAACCGAACCGAACCCAACCGAATCGAGCGGTTCTTCATAAATTAAATACCCGAACGGGGTACCCGAATCGAGAACCGATGGGTTTGGGTCGGGTCTCGAGTCTAGACCAATAATCGAAAAATCGAAACTAAATAATTTTTTTTTATTTTTTATATTGAATTAATTAAATTATTTTATTTTTTTAAAACAAATTAGCAAATTAATTAAATAAATCTGATTATTTCCGAATTTTAATTTTAAAGCCCAAATCATTTTTAAAATCTATTAGCCCATTTTAATTTGAAACAAATGAATATACTTTATGTAGTGTTGCTGTAATATTAATATCTACTTTTTAGTATTTGTATGCATTGAACTAATCTTATTGGACGGCTGTTATTTATATATTTTTGAATTGAGCTATGTTAATTTGTAAAAATTATGAATGAAATGTCATTAGTTGTATTTATGTAGTGTTGCTGTTAATATTAAAAAAATT